TTATCTGTTCCTTCTAGAAATAGAAGCCATATCTGGGCCCTTCGATGATTTTGTGTTGACCCATGTACCGGGCCCGGTCAGAACTAAACCGATGTGTTCAGTGAAGTTCTTCGTCAAACAAATCGGAAAATCGAGAAACAACTGCTAGACAATAAGCAAGACATAGTTCCATGTGTTTGTCCGGCTGATATCATGAGAATAGAGGATTATGTGATCACTTTTCTTAAAATGGCGCTTCATAGTTTGACGGAGTTTTCGAGAGCTACGATTGCTGGTTGGTTCCTGAAGTTATAGGCAAATACAGTTATTAGACATATCCAAGTGGGAGTCTATTGGATAAGGTGTCTAAGTCCATAACTTATTTGGTATATACTTGACCCGACCGGCATGGTCCATTTGGGTTGCATCTCATCCAAACTATTATGGATAATTTTATGAGAGTTATACACATATGTTTATTAATATATTATAAGTTATAATATATTAATATGAATTTACGTTATTTAATTAGTTTTAGTCTTAAATTAATTATGAATTAATTTAGAGATTAAAAGGAAGACTAATTAGATTATGGGCTATTTGTTTTATATAGTGTGGGCTAATACTCATTTGTTAATGGGCTAGGCTTATGTGGAAGTCCATGGATGATCCATGGAGCTTTAAACCCATGGATCCTTGGAAAGGAAAAGACATGGGTTATTAGGGTTTCACCCTAACCATGCACACTATATAAGCATGCTTATGGAGCATGAAATGAAGCCTAAGAAGAAACTAGTGAACTAGTGTGTGTGTGCTTGTGTGTGGCCGAATTTATACAAGTGTGTATACTCTCTCAAAGTTTTCCAAGAGTTTGTGGTGTTTTGTGATTCCATTTGAGGCATTCACACTATTGGTGCTTGGCCCTTATTCTCCTTAGAACCAAACTCACCAAAAGGTATGTAATCTCTTCTAACTCTTTTTTGTTGAAATGTTCCTCATGCCATGTTAGATAGGTTATAAACCTTGGAAAATTTATTATTTTGCATGTAGACAAACATAGATCCAAGGTTTATTAGGGTTGCATGCACACTTAGGAAGTGTTAGATTGCTCAAAACCCAACAAAAACAACATAATGAATATTCAAAATAAAAGACGAGTCTTGACTGCTCCGTCTTCGCAAAACCTGGTCGTCGTACCTGTCTATTTGTGACGTGAGAATACAAGTTATTTTGAAAGCGAGTATCAGCAATAAAGCTGGTGAATTCATAAGTATTTATGTATCTTTGGTTTGCAAAACTGTAAAGAAAAGACTTGTAATTGTTTGGAGAAAAGTTTGTATAAGTATGAGAATGTTTGTAAGTAATTGTAAACGTTTGAAAACCCTAGAAAATTCCATATTTCCTACTAGTATAAAAAGTAGTCTTCTACCAAGACCCGAGTGTTTTGAAAGTAGACTTCTACCAAGACTCGACTGTTTTGTATGTTTGTGTCTTGTAAAAGTGTGTAATTTTCCCAAGTGTAACTATCATTATCAAAATATAGTTTGTACATTAATGTTTAAATGAAGTAATCACCAAATAAATGCAAAAGGGTAAATTAGTGTAGTACTGTAGTATTGTATTAAGTGACTACTATTGTACTAATTGCCTTAATTGAGTATTAAGGTATAATGTGATAGCTAGATCCCATACTAAATGCTCCCCTGTAAAGAGATTCTGGGAACCAAACGCGACCCCTGCAATGATTGCAAGTCGTGAACATCCACATTATGATTATATGATCATGTATACCCAATATAACTATCACCTTTTGTTTAAAACAACGTGTTAGTGATTCATTGGTATAGTTAGATCATGTACTTGCTCCATGCTATAGCACCTTATTATGTTTGTTCTGTTATCATGTATTGTATCTTCCTCCCTGTTTCTCTTTATTGTGTGTTCTCTTATGTTATCGTGTATTGTATCTATGAAATAGTATCTATGTAATAGTATCTCTTCATGTAGTATGTATTGTATTAGTATAGACTCATGAATGAACTGACTCTTGTATGATTCCTTGTACTTGGAATAGTAAGTAGTATCTCCTAACTATACCTATTATAGTTACTAGTAATGTACGTGTATAACCGAAAGTATGCCTTTGCTACCCAAAGGTACTGAACTAACTGATAGAACTTTTATGTCTATATATGTATACATGATATATAACTAATATTTAGACGACATTCGGACGAATAACCGATACCCTAAGGCCACATCCCAACGAGGAAAAGGAAATAAAGCGAGCTAGCCGTCCTAAGTCCTTTAAACATTACTTATATAACTATACATATATGGACATGCATTTGACAATACAAAAATATAAAAGAAGTTTTGTAAAACCTTTGAAAAGTTTAATAACTAAGAAATTATGACTTGATGTCAATTTATAAAACGATTTGAAAGTAGTTTGTTTGATAAGACAATGTTTAAGAAAAAGGAAATCCTTTGTTTGAAACACAATTGTAACAGAGTTTGAAAGGAAACATACAGTATGTAAGACAGTTTGATAAAGAGTTTTAAGCATGTAAAAACATTTGAAAAAGTCATTTGAAGTAATATGTTTGGTAAAACAACTAAACGTGTAGTAAATCCATTTGTATGATAGTTATTAATCACATGTGATTGGTATAATAACCAAAATGATTCAACTTGTATTCCCCCTATAAAAGCATTTATAAACATTTAAAAGGTTAATTAAGGGGTATGAACTCACTTGATAGATTGAATAAGGTGAGACGAAAGTCGGGCAGAACTTCGACTGGAAAGAAGTCGATTCCTCGGAAATCTTGGGACTTCAGGACTTGTGTCGTGTGTTGGAGGTGTTACCGGGGCTTCAGGGTGGTCTCGGGATGCTTAACACAGAGTGGAAGTGGGAGAGAGGATAGAAATGAGCAGCTAAACTCGGAAGGCTTCAATTTCTATATATAGGCTAACAATCGAAGTTCACGTCATGAGTTTTACCAATTCACATCGTGAGTTTGTCCCGAATCGTCATGGCATGCGTCATCTATCAAGTGGCTCAGAAATGGCCAGTCAGACAGTTCACGTCGTGAACTTTAGTGTTCACGTCGTGAATTCAAACAAGTCTGACTCAGCATCGAAACTCGTGCCTCGAACTTCAGAAATTCATATCTTACCCATACGAGCTCTGTTTTCGACATTCTTTATATTTACGCATAGTTGAGATTATGTTCTATAACTTTCGTTTAGACCCCGTCTGCTAATTTTGATTTTATTTTTAATATTATATTTTTAACAGGCCGGGATAGGAAAATCCGTTAAAAATCCATATCTTCTTCATCTGGTGTCCGTCTTCGTCAGAATTTTTACCGTTGCGCTACAATTGTTGAGACCTTCGATTCTCATTTAGGTTGTTTCGGCTAAAAGTCTCTCGATCTCTATTTCGAGTTTTTTTTAGCTGTTTACTATTATATCTGGATATTGGAAAAATCATAATTTCCTCATACGAAGTCAGATTTGGACGTTCTTTTTACGTACGTTTACGATTTAATGATGTCTACAACTTTCATTTAGATACCTAAGGCTAAATATTATTGTATTGAAACTTCGCGTTTTACGTCTATCAGTATTGCTGGTTTTTGCTGCGAATCTTAGATTGGTCATAACTTCTTCGTTATAACCCGGATTATAGTGTTTTTTATATGTACGAAAACCTTGATACTTCTCCTACCACTTTATTTAACCCAAATAAGATTTTAGGAAGGTTAATTTTTGACCTAAATTTGACTGGTGTTACATAACATTATCTCGAAATACCGGATTGTCACAAGTGCTTATGAGTTCATTAGGCCCAAATAAGAAAATCCTAGTTCATAATGAACTTGAACCGGGATTTTTAAGGTTTTCAACTTATAATTGATTATTGAGGTGTTTTGTATGAAGTTTTGATCTTTATTTGATGATCCTGAACTGAATTTTATTGTTGTTGAATGAATATAGTGTATGATATCAAGTTAGTTAACAATATCATGATAGTTGGCGTTTATAAGAGCATATAATTTTCTAGCTAAATTGCTAGTTGTGACAAATATCTACTTCATCTAAAAGTTTAACAAAATATATTTTATTATATCTCAATTTTGACAATATGGTTTTATAATATTTCATTATTTTAATTTATATAATAAAAAAATCATAACAAATGTTTTTAGTGGTAAAAAAATCAAACTATTTATTATTATATTCATTGTACGGAGAAAAATATATATTATCTTAAATAATAAATATTTCATTAATTATATTATTGATCTACACATTTAATATTATGAATACTTTACATATAGAATAATAATAATAGAGGTGTTAATTAGTATAAATGATTAATTTTTTATTAACAAAAAATAAAAAATATCATATAATGACATGTGAAATTTAAATAATTGAAATTTTTTATATAATGACATTTGACAAAATTTTTAAAGAAATGACAAACGACAAAAACATTTTTATTTATTTGGATAGATTTGGTTCGATACTAAATTTATGTCATATCATAAATATATTTCTACAAAAAAGTTATATTTTGGATTTGGATTTCGAACTAAACATTGTGGATTAAGTTAAAAAAAAAGATATATTATGAAATTCAGTAATATTTTTGAAATTTGAATAATAAATTTGAAATTTAAAAAAAAAAAAAGATTTTGTTTTATAAAAATCCAACAAAAAATGAAAAAGACATAAAAAGAACTAAGTATATAAAATTACATTGGGATAAAAAGCTTAACATTAGTTGAAACATTAGGGACTTAAGGAGCAAAATAAAATTTTTAATAAGAGTTCAGTGAAAATGAGATAAATTCATATTATGTAATATGTACCATCTGAAAATGCCCAATTCCAAAATTGGTGGTGGCTTTGAAATATATATAAAATATATGGTCATTTACATTAATTGTCCAAAATCACGTGGTTATAAATATCCCTAAAATTTAGCTATTTATACCCACATTCCACATGAAGCATATCAACCACTTTACAAAATATAAAAATATGACAAACTCAACACCCTCAGATTTTCGCAGTGAAAACCAATCAGATCAGCGAAAAATACCGTTTTCCGAAGTGGTGATCACAAGAACGAGGAACCATTTTTTTGGCCGAAAATGGAAAACAGCAGACATCCAAGTGGCATCATGGTTCATTTTTGTTCATTTACTTGCTCTTTTTGCACCATTTGCATTCACTTGGGAAGCTTTTTGGATCGCAAGTGTTGGCTGCTTGCTAACAGGAATGTTAGGCATAACTCTAAGTTATCACCGACTTTTATCCCACCATAGTCTCAAACTCCCTAAATGGCTCGAATATTCATTTGTTTACTTTGGAGTCCTAGCCGCCCAGGTTTGTTTTTAACTTTACACTTATTTAGTTGGACGTAAGGTGATGATGAATAAATGAAATAAGCAGACTATATATATATATATATATATATATATATATATATATATATATATATATATATATATATATATATATATATATATATATATATATATATATATATATATATATATATATATATATATATATATATATATATATATATTTTTAACCTCATCCTATATATAACCAATGAAACAATCTTTTTCTTTTTAATTTTTAGAACTTATTTTTTATAAAAAAAAAACTAAAAATACAGAAATTCATGACTTTTCATTCTTTTTCCAATGATATCAAATTCGATAAAAAAATTTTTTCGTTAAATTCACAATTTGAATCTTTAAAAATTCACAATATGAATATAAATTTACGCGGTGAATCCGGAAAATATATTTAACATTCACAATGTTAAGTTATAAATTTAGATATTTTTGGTTTTTTTTTTCAACAAAAAATAATCTATAGATCATGAAAAAGATATTTGATTCTTTTGGAGAATCAATAATTATGATTCTTTCTTGAAGTTTTCTATATATATATATATATATATATATATATATATATATATATATATATATATATATATATATATATATATATATATATATATATATATATATATATATATATATATATATATATTATAAAAGTAATATATAGTTTTAGTTCTACTCTATGTTATACTATGTAAGAGTTCTATAATACTACGTTATGTGAGAGTTACTAGTTAGTTATTTATATAAAAAATAATTTAACTAACATATTAAAAACTCATTCAAATCTAATTAAAATCAAAGTAAATTAGAGTCATGAAAGTTTAGAAATATATATATATATATATATATATATAGAGAGAGAGAGAGAGAGAAATCTAATTTACTCTTAATTCCACCAATGTCCAACATGATACTTAAACCTTTGACATGTTCTATAATGGTATATGAAAAAAGAAATAAAGGAAGGCACATTCGTTTTAAAAATGGTCAACGTTGTTCTATTAGAAAGACCAACCAATATTTTTCATTCCAATGAAATGAATCATGTTACAATTCCTTCATACAAAAAAAAAAAAAAAAGAATATACATAAGTATTAATTTTATTTGTAGGGAGATCCAATATTTTGGGTGAGCAATCATAGATTCCATCACAAATACGTTGATTCAGATAATGATACACATTCTCCAAAAAACGGGTTTTGGTTTAGTCATATTGGTTGGATGTTTGATAGTGGGTACTTGGTTGAAAAGGTATTATTGTTTTATTTCTTATTGGAAATTATAATTTATTACTTTAAATTTTTTAATTAAATATTGTCTACTAAGAATATAAAACATCCTAAAACTATATCATATTGTTTTATTGCAGTATCAAGAACGAAAAAACGTTGAAGATTTAAAAAATCAGATGTTCTATGTATTCATACATAAAACTTACATGTGGCATTTATTTGGATGTGGTGCTCTCTTATATGCATGTGGTGGATTTTCTTATGTGGTTTGGGGAATGGTATAACATCTCTATTTGAATTCATTTCCAACATTTCATTTTAATGAATCATTTTCATAAATTTGTGTCGTTTAAATAATAAAAAAGATAAAAAAATTATTTGATAGAAACAAAATACATTTCCTCAACATGTGCATTCAAGGTTTGTTTTGGTATGGACAGATCATATATATATATATATATATATATATATATATATATATAATATATATATATATATATATATATATATATATATATATATATATATATATATATATATATATATATATATATATATATATGTATGTGTGTCCAGACCCCTCAACGACAAAGAAGAGGGGGAGGGAGCGGTCTTCACCTAGGTATGCAAAAGAAAACTCGCATGAAAATATGTGGCCTCAACAACGCACTTTTACTCTTAGAAGCCATCATATCAACACCATTTCTATAGGGTGGTTTGCAGGTCTTATTGTGCAACTTCCTCAACACCATGTGCTTGGTGTGGTAAGAATATCATACATAATTGTCCAAATGAAACGTTGTAGTTTAGTTTTGAAATTATCACTAATGCTTTATCGTTTGTATCTCTAACTTTCAAGTCTTCTATTTCGAAAACAACTTTTGATTCTTCAAGGTTTTATTTGTTATTTTTTTTATTTTTTTTAGTTTTTTTAAAATATTTTTTATTGAATCATAATTTCATTTTTTTCGATAATTATAAAAATGACACCTATATTTTTTTTTTATCTAAACCTTGTAAGATTGGTCAAACTTTTAAAAATATCCAAATTTTGTTTATGTTATATTTATATTTTGATATTAGTTCCTAACTCGGATAAAATTACTTTTATTAGGGTTGTAAATGAATCGAACGAACACAAATAATGGTTTGTTCAAGTTTGTTCATTTAAGCTAGCCGAACAAATGAACGAACATGAAAATATAAAATGAACGATTTTTTTTTCATGTCTGTTTGTTTAACAAATTGCATTGTTTATGCTCATTCATTATGTTGGTAAACATGCTAAACGAATATAAACAAACATATCTAAACAAACATAAGTAAACGTATATGAACATAAATGAACATATAATATAGTAATGTAGTCAAACACAATTGAAGATATATGAACATAAAAAGAACTTAAATGAACGAACATCAACGAACGTAGATGAACAACATAAACAGATGTTGACAAACATAATTTAACAAACAAGATAATTGTTCATATTTGTTCGTTTAACTAAACGAATGAGAAATTGTGTTAATATCCATTTATTTATTAAATAAATAAACATAAACGAACTTCATGTCAAAAAGTTTATGAACCGTTCGTTGAACGTTCGGTTTGTTTACAATCCTAACTTTTATAGCTATATTTTGGTTTAATATTATATTTCTATTTAGTTTTGTATTGTTATTAAGATTAAATTATGTAAATGGCAGTTATGTTTATAAAAAGACACTACTTCGGTCTCTATTATTATTTTGGCGATGGGTTTTAATTCTTACATGGCATATAAAATATCTTTATACCTTTTTTTTATTTGTCTTTTATATTTTATTAAACTAACTACAATTAAAATCAAGATATACCACACCAACCACTTTCTTTCCCTCCCCGTCCACGTTGACCCCATTTCATATGGATACCTCACTTTCCCCTTATTCCATTCTAACTCGCATTAACCAAGAACTTCCATCACCCGCCAACGCCTAGTGGGATATTCCTAGATCCCCACCTACTTTTATTTCTCATCTATTTTCTCATACCTTTGCTTCATCACCTCAAAGAGGAGACTTCGTTGAAGAGGCATACCTAAGAAGTATATCGATGTTCATAAGATTAAGGTTCTTTTGCAAATGTATGGTCATCAAGCTATCCACCAAGATTTATCATACCTACCTACTGATGTTACAAATGGAAAAAGAATGGGTGTTGTCTACAAAATACACACATACACATAAAATAGTGGAATCCTTTGTTCTTTTTCTTTCTTCGATGAGGGCTACAAATCCGATTTCAAGAAAATAGGGTGGGTCTCAAGAAGTGAAAGGAGGAGAGCAAACGGATACACATGTATCCATACAAATCATCATCCCTTAAGAAAATGAGAAACATCAATATTTCTATTTTCTTCCGTGTATTAATTAACCAAACTAATAGAACTAATGAGAGAGACACACAAACAATGGTTCTCCTATGTTCTTATAAATTTACATAAAAAGAAAATCATTTTGAATTTATATTTATGGTGTATGTAGGGTGTGAGAATTGTATGGCTTTACCACATCACCTTCTGTGTGAACTCTGTATGTCACATATGGGGAAACCAAACTTGGAATACAAGTGATCTCTCCAAAAATAATTGGTAAGTTTATAAATATCTAAATAATCATACTAGAATCTAACTTAAAAGTTTGTCTAAATATTGTGAAGGTGGGTAGGAATTCTTGCGTTTGGAGAAGGATGGCACAACAATCATCATGCATTTGAGTATTCAGCTCGACATGGATTTGAGTGGTGGCAAATTGACGTTACTTGGTACATCATAAAGTTTCTTGAAGCCATTGGGTTGGCCACCAACATCAAAGTTCCGACTAATCTCCAAAAGTTTAAGAAATCAATTTTCAGTTCGGATGATACATTTAATGATTAATCACTTTGTTTGTGATTAATCATTTTGTTTGTAGCCAGAAGCAGATTCACATGGGTGCACAGGGTATATTTATGTTACACAGTATCATTAAGTAAAATAAACATTAGAGGTGATCAATTTTATGCACATGAGTGTATACGCATCATGGATTTGATTGTTATTACTAGTCTCTCATTGATATAGAATTCCTTATTTTATGTGTTTTTTTTGGTTGGAAATAAATCTATAAGTTGAACATGTATATATTCTTTAATCTCGTCTTATCTCATTTGCAATTAGTAACATATAACACATGCATATTACCTGTATTCAATATTGTAGATATACTCTAAAATAAATCATATAGATATATTCAATATTGTAGATATACTCTAAAATAAATCATATAGATATATTCAATCAGTGGTTAATATATAACTCTTTAACTATCTTTGTAACCTTCCGTTAAAAATAAATAAATAATAATAAAAATAATAAACAAATAAATAATATTTATTTATTTTATTATTAGTCCTAAATCCATAATAATTTATCAGTGTTAGTCACATATGTTAAAAGTTGTAATTGGGGATATCGAGGGTTAAATTGTAACCTTTGGACTTAAATTGTAATGAAATTTGGAAGCTGAGGGCTGTTGTAACATTCCAAAAATACGAGTAAAAAATTTCATTTTTGAAAACATATACTTAGCAAAATATTCGAATTAAAATGTTTACCAATCATAACATTTTATAAAGGTATCGCATTTCTGGAAAAACATTTCATAAAACATAATAATGTCAGAGTACAAATTCCCAGGAAGATCTCATGGTGCGGAATACGGAGCATGTGTGTGATGGGCCGCTACCGCGCCAACTCTTTCCCCTTCGAAGAAGAGGTACCTGAAACCAAAACTGAAAACTGTAAGCACAAAGCTTAGTGAGTTCCCCCATCATATTGCATACCATACAATCGCATATCATACATATTGCCAGGCATTTCTGGGGTGCCCGACCTACCCGTGTCAAGCCATTCTGGGTTGCTGACTACCCATGTCAAGCCATTCTGGGGTGCTGACTACCCTTCGGTCCTGACGACCGAACTTCGGGGACTATTTTACCCCCTACTGCTACTATCACATATATCATAACATAACATATTATCAGATATATCTGGGGTGCCTGAACTACTCTTCGGTCCTATTAACCGAACTCGGGGACTGGTCCCCTCCTCCTACCTCTATCTCATATAATATAACAAGCCAACATGCAAAAATATAATCACACACTGTCAGATGTGTCTGCGGTGTCTGACTACCTTTCGGTCCTAACAACCAAACTTTACTACTAACACATACAATATATCATGTTAGCATATAACATATCAGGTAGTAGCAAGCCTAGATGATATCACAAAGACAATCATCTATCATACGTCTCCTACTGGTGGGCCGACATTGTGGCCTTAGACCCACCGCTACTGGAAGGTAACTCACCTCGTAGCTGCTGATCTGTGTGGGAACGGTCTGTCTGCTGCTGTTTGAAACGACCCAAATTTTTTTTACTTTTAATATAATCAAAACTGTAATCAGAGTATCATATAATAAAACCATGCGTGATGTATTCCAAAACATAATAAAATACTGAGCGGAAAACTGTATCATGCTACATCAAATCAAACAACTAAATCAATCCCAGGCTAAAGCCGATGCCGTCAACTTATTTTTGGGGCTGACTCGCCGAGTTGGGCCGCCCAACTCGCCGAGTCTCACTCTCACTTCCAACTCATACTCACTGCGACTCGTCGAGTGTGGCATCGACTCGACGAGTACCCTCTTAATCCAAGAACTCAGACAATCTTCATCCGACTCGCCGAGTCGTATGAACAGACTCGACGAGTTGTTCTTGATCCTAAGGAGATTGCCTTGGACTCGCCGAGTTGTATGAACAACTCGTCGAGTCCCTCCATTACTGAGTCTACCCTCAACTCGCTGAGTCCACTCTCTAACTCACTGGGTGCACTCGACACTGCTAAAAACGAAGGAGTCGGGGACTCGCGACCCGACTCGCCGAGTCGCTCATCCCGACTCGCCGAGTCGCTGCCATGCAGCTAGATTTTACTCGATTTCTCTTGAATCCAACATATGCAAATGATAGATCTGGGTCCAATAAGCTGTTTTACCACGTAAAGTTTCCAACTTTACGTGCACAACCTCATGAATAAGGGAAATAGGGCTAAAAGATGCACAAAATGAGTAGATCCATGGCTAATATGCAATGTAACTCCAAAAAGACAGTAGATCTGGGCTCTACAACACCCCAACATTCAGATCCAAGGGTATTTCGACTTATTAAGACATTCTTGCAAACATAAGGCTTGGAACAAACATCAAATAGCTCTTAGAAGAGCTCTAATGGAAGTTTGAAGCATATAACAAGAAGGGAACTCCGAAAATACCTCAATAAACTCAGATTTGCCCTTGGATCTTTGCACTACAACTCGTTTCCTTGCTTCTTTCTTCTTCTCCTTCTTCACACCTTCACAAAATGGCACCAAATCACTTATAAACTCTCAAGGGAGGATTAGGGTTCTCTCACTGTGTTCTCAGGGTGAAAGTGGCGAGAATGAGGCTATAATGTGGTTTAAATAGTGGGCAAACCCGGGGATTTAGGGTTTCACCCAGACGGACGGACTCGCCGAGTCCGGGATATGGACTCGCCGAGTCCCCGGCTCCCGCGTGCACAAAATACGCGACCTAACTCGGCGAGTCAGGCTAGAACTCGCCGAGTCCCTCTTGAAAACTTAGACAATTAACAATTAGTTAACATACCGGGAATGGGTTGTTACACTGTTACTCCGGAAATCCTCCGGTTGCAATTCCCACCAAACACTTAGTCAAATACTGCTAACCGCCTTCAGGGTAAATTGTCCATTTACCCTTAAGAAGTCATGAGTCAAGTCATAGTCAACTGCCAGTTGACCAGACTAGCCGAGTTGGCTTGCCAACTCGCCGAGTCCCTTTCTCTATACCCAAGGCCAATAATCCTTCATCCTACTCGCCGAGTTGTATGAACAACTCGTCGAGTTCACCTTCATCCGCAGAACACTCTAAGCTGTGACTCGCCAAGTTGTATGAACAACTCGCCGAGTTGTTCTTGTGACAAGAAGATTGCCATAAACTCGTCGAGTCATGGCATTGACTCACCGAGTGACTTTATGAGTGAGTCTGGCTTCCAACTCACTGAGTCACACCCTATGACTCACTACTCCAACCCGCAAACACAAAAGGGGGAAAACTCGGGGACTCGCGACTCGTCTCGCCGAGTCCGAGGGACGACTCGCTAAGTCGGCCACATGCAATTACTATACACTCGATTTTTCTTGAATCCAGCTCATGCCGTTCACAGATCTGGGTTTCTAGGGCATGGATTACACGTAAAGTTCCCAACTTTACGTGTAGATAATCACCAATGAAGGTTTTAGTGCTCAAAGTGCACCAAAAGGGTAAGATCTAGGGCTTTCATGCAATATAACTCCATAAAGGCAGTAGATCCAAGCTCCAGGGACTCAATCATGCCTAGATCTAGAGGCTAACAAAACTTATTACAACCCACAGTGCACAAACAAGCTTGGGGAATGGATCAAGAAGGACTTTCATGTAGCTAATAGAGACTACAAGCATGAAAACAGAGGGGAAACGAGTTATACCTCAAGGAAAACGCTGAGATGACACAAAGATGCCTGGCTTCCTTCTCCTCTTCTTGATCTACTCTTCTTTCTCCTCAAAATCTTCAAGAACACACCAAAACACTTCAATCTCATAAGGAATAAGGGTATAAACGATGTTGGGACCTGTGAGGGTGAAGGGGGCGAGCTTAGAGGCGGATAAGAGGGTTTAAATAGGGTGCAAACCCTTGAAATTTAGGGTTTCATCAAACAGCGGGGACTCGCCGAGTCGCCAACTTAAACGTGCCCCCGGACCCTGTCCCTACTCGGCGATTCGGACCTACAACTCGCCGAGTCCAAGGCTAAAAATGACAAATACTTAGATAAATTTTACGTACCAGGAACCAGGTGCTACAAATCTCCCCCACTTATTTTAGACTTCGTCCTCGAAGTTTTCCGCTCGATCCTGAAACAACTCGGGGTAATGCTCCATCATTTCTTCCACCGGATCCCAATTCCATTCCGAACCCTTGCGGTACTGCCATTGCACCTTCACTAATTCCACCCTCTTGTTCCTTAGATCATTCGACTTCTAGTCGAGGATTGCGACTGGGCGCTCAATGTAATTCAGGCTGTCATCAACCTGTATATCCTTTAATGTCACCACCGCTGAATCATTTACGAGACACTTCCATAGCTGGGAGACATGGAAGGTGCTGTGGATCTGGCTGAGCTCGGCTGGCAAATCCAGCCTATATGCCACCTTGCCCACCTGGGCTACAACCCTGAACGATCCAATGAATCTCGGGCCCAACTTTCCCCGCTTCCTGAATCAAATGACGCCTTTCCAAGGCAACACCTTCAGGAGAACCAAATCCCCGACCTGGAACTCCAGGTTTGATTGACGCTTGTCGGCGTACCTTTTCTGCCGACTCTGCGCAGTCTGAAGCCTGCTCCAAACCTGCTGGATTCTCTCGGTCGTCTTGAGCACCACCTCGGTGCTCCCCATGACCCTCTGGCCAAGTTCACCCCAGCATATCGGGGTCCTGCACCTCCGACCGTACAACATCTCGAATGGGGGACGGTCAATACTCGCGTGGTACCTGTTGTTGTACGAGACCAAGGGAAGATAGGTATCCCAGCTACCACCGAAATCTAACACGCATGCCCGCAACATATCCTCCAAAGTCTGGATGGTCCGCTCACTCTGACCATCCGTCTGCGGGTGAAAGGCGGTTCTAAAATGCAGACGAGTGCCCAACTCATCATGAAACCTCTTCCAAAACCTGGAAGTGAACCGCACATCTCGATCTGATATCACTGACACTGGCACCCTGTGCCGCACCACTATCTCCCAGATATAGATATCGGCCAACTTTTCGGCCGAGATACTCTCCTGAATCGGAATAAAATGGGCTCTGTTGGTCAACCGATCCATGATGACCCAAATCGAATCTACTCCTCGCGCCGTTCGCGGAAGCTTAGTGGTAAAACCCATCGTAATATCCTCCCATTTCCACAACGGGATATCCAATGGCTGCATCTTGCCGTGCGGTCTCTACTGCTCGGCCTTGACCTTCCTACAGGTCAAACACCGATCGACGCACC